TGTCTGTTAAGGGCAACACAGGCTGACTAAGTCTGCTCACTAAGAGTGCCAAGAGTCTAAGCAGGCAACAAGGAAGTGGAGTAGACGTGATGACTAAGACCTATCTACAGTATAGGTACCTGTGGATGATCCTAAGAGACCAAGTCTGAAGAGACAGTCCCAGGCAGAGTAGGCCTTATATTTATACCTCTGTGGTGGAACCTGCTAGAACATCTTGCTTACTCAGCCTAGTCAGGTGATCAGGTCATATGACCAAGGATGAGGTCATATGAGGTCATGCACAGCCATGCACAGCAGGTCACCTGACCATCCAATCCTTCCAGCAGGTTCCAGCACATGCCAAGGTATACCAGCTACTTCCATGTCATAAAGGCTTAGTCATGTCTCTTGACCAACCAATGAGCTGGTGCCCTGACAGCTTATGAGGCTTATGGGTATCTCTCACGCGAGGACAAGTGGGAGGAGGAGAAGGCACAGGAGTTCAAGCTTGGGCATCACAAGGAGCTTGAGGACATTGGCCTGAAGTTCCTCAAGGCTGGCCAAAAGCACTTCAACACTGCCCACCCACCCACCATGAAGAACCGCATCAGCAGCTTCACAAAGAGCCTCAAGTCAGCAGTGAGATGAAGGAGGGCACAACAAACTTTGTGAAGAAGGCAGGGCTGGTCATGGGTAATGTGGTGAACAATTACATTGTTCCTGCTGTCAAGGTCACCAGGCCCATCAGTAAGTGTTTATCTCATATTATTACTATCTATTCTAACTCATTGTGCAGTTGCTATCAGTCTTGCTGCAGCTGGCATCTGAAGGGCTAAAGGGAATGTGCATTGCTACTGGTAGAGGGCTACAATACTGCAGACATTGTAAGATTAGATTAAAAATGAAAGCCTGTGTGGTTGTGTTGGTATTCTTGGCTGCTGCAACCATGTTACTTATACAAACTGTGGTTGTTGGTCTCTATGGGGCTGCCACAACCATGTTACTCCCCCAAACTGCCTTGCATGCCAATATACCCTCTGCAGCACCTTGAAAGCTGCCTGTCCACCTCGCCCAATGCACCTCCTGCACCTCCTGCATGTCCATTGCCCTGACCCTTCTCCTCTCCATTCCGTATGTCCGGTTACCAGTACTAGTGAGGGACCCAAGCTCCGGTTATGCTTGACGTGTATGTGGAATCAAAATACCCCCATTTGGTAACCTATGCGTTCAATGCCCTCCCGCATTGAAAGTGTCACGAAAGCCGCAAGTACTGATGCCCTCGGCGCTAAGACACGTGTGAACGCTCGGTCTCTGTTTTGTTTCAGTTCCACCACCTCTCTGCTCCGGATCCATGATGCATCGTTTTCCAGACCCGGAACGAAAACCATATGCTCCTTGTCTTGTGCACTGCAGTAATCAATCCAAACGTAATAGACCTCACACAGCATCCTTATGTCACGAGCAGATTGCCGATTTGACCGGTTGTAACTGATTGGCACTGCGGAACAATGGACTGCCTTATCGGGGAGGCGCAGCGCTAGGACGTGCTTCTCTCGACTCACCATGCTTGCAGATTGCGATTAGACATGGTTCAGGGAGAAGTATTGGGCGACCCAAGTACTCTATGTTCACTGCTTATCACCGAGGTCTCCGACTGGCAGTGAAACATTGTTGAAATCTCCAGCCATCTCCCCAGAGCGGAATGATTACTTTCATTGCCTTCAACGCCGTAACTACTTCATGACATCTCGTACTATTTTGCTTTGGCGATGTCGTGTTTTGTTCATCATTTTCCTGATGCACCCGTTCAAGCTAAACCACGGGAGATTGGACTATAAAAATGCGATCGAAAGCAGCACAATCCCTCCAGCGCCGGTCGCACAACAACCTCACCACAATCACACCTACCTTACCGTCCTACCTTAAACGCCCTCTACTTCATCCTTACTTTGAACACTCTACTTCATCCCTACTTTAAATACTCCACTTCATTGCAATGCAAAGTGGGTTACTTCTATGTCTTCCCTTGTGGCCTGGCTGACATTGTGCTAGTTCTCAAGTTCCTTCTCGCGGTGCTCTCTTTCTCCGTCCTTGCGACATCGCTTCCCGTACATACCAGTGAATCCGGAAGCCTCGCCCTGCGCAATGCTGACCTCGAGGAGCGCTCAACTGCAATTGGACTGGATGGCTCCAAGGACGTTCTGGCTCGCTCCTTTGATGACGTTGGCTCCGACCTGGAAGCTCGCGACGATTGCACGATCTGTCTCGAGGCGAATGCCAAGCATACCAATTGTCCTAACGGGCAGGCTCACCCTGCTCACTTCGCATGCTTGAAGAAATGGATCGACACTCAGCACACTGAAGGACAGCCATTCACATGCCCTGCATGCAGATCGCCTACCACCACCCTGATCACGACTGTAAAGAAGAAGGACTCTATGTCGTCAGCCAGGAAGACAATGCCTAAGAAAGCCACGGCGAAGAAAGCCAAGGGCAAGCGTGACCTTGAAGACGTCGAGTCGAAATCCGAGTTCGAAATGCGCGACTTTGCCAACTGATTCAGGACAAACTTTCCCCCCTCCCCCCACTCGCCGCCCCCGCACCTCCTTGGGAGCAGCTGAGGAAGAAGTGGCTGACAGGGGAAGCGGTGAGCAGCAGCCTAAGTTCCATCGCCTTCTAGAGCATGTAGGCGCTAAGATTGTAGCATATAAATCGACGATTTGCTTACGATGATTTTCTTGCCCGATCACTGTGATCACGTTATACGGAGTCTTAGGCTTGAGTGGGAGGATAGACAATTTGCACTTGCGCCTTGTGCCGGTGAAGTCGTTCGCCCGTACCGAGAGAATCGCAGAGCTCTCAGTGTCGTTCGTTCTTCGTCGTGGAGAGCCTTCTCATAGAAGAGACGGGTGTCACACATCGCTTGGACTCATGAACGCTTCGACCCTTCGGGTATAGTAGCGGAATAACCACGAGGCAGTTACGAAAGACGGACGGGCGCCTAGAACGACGTTGCTCCGCGGCCGGGCGTCGGTCGGCGTGCAGCATGGAAAAGCCGTGGGGTATTCAATTGTACGTAACAATTGGACCCTTACACCGCCACACTTCCAACTGTTTGTGACGTGTTTCGTTTCCCTCCTTGCTTCCATCACAATTAATTGGTCTTGTGCACTCTGAAATTCTCTCAGGGAGCACATGGATCCAACAACATTCTTGACATATTAGTTGTTGCACTGCTTGTTCCTGTATGTAACTGATGGATTATGCAAGAATGGTCTGATTCATCAAGGTGCTTGCTTCCAAATGCAAAGTGTCAGAGCCCTGCTCCCAACCTCCATTTCTTGACTCATGGTACTTGGCAATCAGATTTCTGCCTCCAGTATGCAATGAGGGTGTGATGATCACAGCCTGTGACCAAAATGTCATGCAAGTCAGGCAACCCTCCTGCTGATCCTCACATATATGTGTTTGCCTGAGTTGATGTCTGGCTTGGTGTCAGGGCACCAGCTCATTGCTTGGTCAAGAGACATGACTAAGCCTTTATGACATGGAAGTAGCTGGTATACCTTGGCATGTGCTGGAACCTGCTGGAAGGATTGGATGGTCAGGTGACCTGCTGTGCATGGCTGTGCATGACCTCATATGACCTCATCCTTGGTCATATGACCTGATCACCTGACTAGGCTGAGTAAGCAAGATGTTCTAGCAGGTTCCACCACAGAGGTATAAATATAAGGCCTACTCTGCCTGGGACTGTCTCTTCAGACTTGGTCTCTTAGGATCATCCACAGGTACCTATACTGTAGATAGGTCTTAGTCATCACGTCTACTCCACTTCCTTGTTGCCTGCTTAGACTCTTGGCACTCTTAGGTGAGCAGACTTAGTCAGCCTGTGTTGCCCTAACAGAAGACCAAGTCTCCAAGGACAACCTCTGCTTCACCACTCCACCTCTACTCTTACCTGCCTTTACTCTTACCACACACACCCAACACCTGCCTTATTCCATATCTACCATTATGGAACAAGCAGAAGAATTCCTGATCCATTTCTATTCTT